TGATATCTTTAAATCTTTACTATATATTTTATTAAAATGAAAAGCGTAGAACTAGAAGCAATTGATTGCGTAGGCTAATCTAAAACAAAAAATCAAATGATTTACTAAATTAACAACTGTAAGAATCATTTATCATACTAAAGAAATAAGGAAACTAAGATTATAGTTCAGCAATATCGTTGATCAAAATAACTTATTTATAACTTTAGGTAGATAGATCAAAAGATTTTTCCTATTTGAATCTAATTTAATCCCTTTAAGAGATTAAATTTTTTTGAATTCTTGTTGTTAATTAATAAAAATAAGTGTATTATTTTTTATGCATATCTCAAGTGAGAAGTAATAATAGATAATAAAAACATATATAAAATATTATTATTAAATACTTTTATTGCTCGAAAAATTATCTTACATTTTTATGTTTATAGAGGTTTTTTTATAATCAGTTATATTTTAATTTAAAATAAATATGAAAAATGAAATTCTACTTTCTGCAGTTAAGAGTAAACTTTGCATTTATAAAAATGTTAAATCTTTGAATGTATTAAATAATCTATCTATATATATATATAGGCCTATATATTATATAATATATATAATAGTATATTAAATAACCTGCGATCTTTAGATATTTGTAACATAAATCCAAATGATTTCTTGATTTTCTGAATACGTTTATTTTAACTGAAGAATAGGTAATATGGATAATTTTGTATTATCAACCTAATTTGGAAAAAAATTCATCATTCATTTTTTTGTATCCTTAAAATGTTTATCTTAAAAAATTAGAATTTTTTAGAAATAATTATTTAATTTATATAAGTAATAAAGTTTTATTGCTGATATAAAGTGATGCTACAAGAATGCATAATAAAACAATTTATCATTGTTATTGATTGAAAAACAAAACATTACGGTTTTGGAATCATAATATCTTAATTTATGCAGAAAATACAGTATATTTTTGAAAAGATAATAGTAATTATTATCATATTAATAATAATAATATTGAACTCTAATTAAATAATTTTTAAATTGATATTAATTGAATTCATCTTTATCCATTAATAATTAAATTCTGAACTTAAAATCAATATTCATTATTTTTAATGAGAATTTTAGTAAAAAAATCACAATTAAATGACTGATAAACTTATCTTATTTGAAGTAAATGAATTAGTTACTTTAAAGAAATACTCTAAACACAAAATACATTATTTACTTTTAAAAATATTTTCTGTCTTTAATCTAACTTAAAAATATATCAACTGATTTTAAGAAAATGAATATTTAACTATATATTTATCAAGATATTCTAAAGTTTACTTTGAAAGCAATTAAGGAATAAATTCTTATGCGTTATTGTTAATTTGTTAACAATATGTAGAAACTGTATTAAACTTAAACTTACTGGAACTTTATTATCTATATACTCCTTTATAATCCTATACATAATCCTAATATATATAATAAATACACCGTAATTCTTTTTTTATATAAAATATAAAACAGAATAGATAAAATTCCAATAAATTTAAACGTACTCAAAAACTATTAGAACTCATTATACTCAGATTTGTTGGATAATTTTGATTAGGATTATTTTGATTGTTTCTATAAATAAAGGAAAAATAAAATAATAAAGGGTACATATATTTTTATCGATAGAAGAATTGAATCTTTCAAAACAATGCCAGTAAAATTATTATTATTACATTTCCAGATTTACTGTATATCAGTAGTGAAATATCGAATGTCTATTAAAAAAATTAATTATACGATTTTTATTCGTTGTTAAAAAATGGAAAATATACAGCATGAATAAATTTAATTTATAAAAAATAAATTGAAGTGAAGCCTATTTGAATTTTGCCATTAGTTCTCACCTAATTGTTTTAATAACTAGATAAAAAAGTATATTGATTGACAAGAATCTCTTATATCTTGACTTTCTCTATCAGTTGATTGGGTTCAAAAACGACTAAACATATAACCTCAAAGTTTATCTGTGTTATTACTGGTGTTTGCCCATTATATCATATACATATGTAATTTTGATTACATTTTGAAATAAATTAGTATTTAAAATTTTTGTTCTCAAGCGTTAAAGATGAAATGACGTATATGCTCTATCAACTAAACAAACAAATACATCTAAAATGGTAATCAATGACCGATAACAATTTAGCATAATATTGGCGATAAGCTACTTCTTTAATAAAACAAAAACAATGTTTATTCGAAATATATAACTGAATGAAAAGTTAATTAGGTTTTAAAAGCTTCAGTAAAATTGTAAATATTTTATTTTCGAAACGACTATTCATTCAAGTAGGATGCTGCACGCTATTTCTCTACACTTATTTTTATATTCATAGAATAAATTTAACTTCTTTCTATTCCATGTAATATTAAATTAATGATTTTTAAATATAAACCATTAAATAATATAACTTGTAATTTAATTTTATATACTATGCATATATATTTATAAATATATATATATACACATTGAATACGATAAATAAAATAGATGCAGTTGTATTAGACAATAGTTTTCGGTTATCTGAACTTGTCGCCCTACATTTATATTAGTCTAGTTTTTCTNATCTTATTTTATAATTTTATGTATTTGAAAATATTACAAATTGATAGTTGCTTTAATTTTATCTGAAAAGTATTCATAAGCGAGAAAAAATTAGAAAGATAACAGCGCATTAGAAATATTAAGAATAAACGAAAGGAAAAAAAAGTAAATTAGAAAAAGTCGAAAATAGAAACATCTGTCCTTTATTGCTTCTCGTTAAATGAAATCATTGGATATATTTTTTAAAATTTATTAAAAGATATGATTTTTGACCAATCATTCGTGGTTTCCTCATCAAAAAATGTCTTTACTCTGAGCTACCTCAAGCTTGTTATTGGTTTGAGTTCCCCTTTCCCAAGCGATTTGAAAAAGTCGTCATGTATGTATGCAGTGGTTCTGCTAGAGGCACAGATAAGGGTACAGTACCTTCAAATAGTACGAGTCAAAGAATAATGAACGATAAAAAAAGCATTTCAAATATTAAATGCAGAGAAAAGAAGAATTATCTGAATTATAGGATTCATCGCGAAGAGAGAAACTTCTGTTCAAATTTTACGATTATCAATAAATTTTGAATTAAATATTCCTTATATTAATGTATATTAGATAAACAAAATTAATATTGTTTAATCTACAGACAAAGAGATAAATTAATATCGTAATTAAATTTAATGCGTTCAAAACTATAACCGTGCAGTGGATTTCCACTTAGTCTCTTTTCTTAGAGCATCGTAGAATAGATGCATCCCTGTAATCAAAGATACGAAGTCTTCCTGACACGCTAACAGGTCCCTTTGACCTTGATGGAGCACAGGAACAGGTTTCCTGGCTGTATAGCACAGAGGTTGGGAAATATCAAAATCCTCGGATTATTATTCCGCAGCTGATATGCGAAGGAAGGAACTGCTGCTTGAACTTCAGTACATACCAACTTCTCGAAAAATATTTAAGAAATCTAATTATAGTTCGACTGATTTATTTTAACGTTAACAGTTTACTCTTCCAATTTTTAAGTTTTTTAAGGTACAATTTCATAACTGAAATTCCACAACAGTTTTTGTTAAAACTCGCTCACAATTAATATTCGTATATATATTTCATTTTGGCTTTGATTGCGTACGGAATGGAAGAGTACTAAAATTGATGTTTAGTTTGATTTAAAGAATGAAATGTATTTATGAAAAATATGTTAATATGGTATAGTATCGAGTTTCCTCGCTAGATGGCGATAAATATAGTATATACTTTACTATCAATACATTTTTTTCCCCCAGCACTCATTTCGCTGCATTATCATGCAATATTTTTAAGTGAAATTTTTATGGCATGAGCAAAAACATTCAAGATTTTCAGGAAATATTTTTTGTCTAACAAAAACAAACATACATTTTATCAGAATATTTACATTTATTATTACATCATTAAAAAAGTTTAAGTTCAAAATGTATTACTTGTTATTTAACAATTTGCAAACAATGCAAAATTTTCTAACTTTTTAAAAGTTAATTATATGTAACTATTAATTACTATTGAAATTTTTTTTTTGATTTGGAAATATTCTATTAAAAATATAACTAGAATAATATGTATACGAGTTATGAATAATCTAGAATAGGCTATTTCTAGTTCTAATCTAGTTGTAGAATAATGTAATTTATAAATTTTAAATATTCTTAAAACTAAACTTAAAATATGAACTACACTCATAACATTTATACATTTGTTGAGCTATGATAAATCAAAAATATCGTTCTAATTGTTTACTTTAAAAAGATTACTACTTCATTTTCAAAATAGTAGAAACATTTTTACCATCGAGGTAAGGATCGACGTCATCAAAGTAAGGCCTATTTATTAAATAATTAAAAATCGATATTATCATTTGTAAAATCATTAAATTGATTAGTTTCTATTAAATATCGAATATTAATCATTCGTGGTTTACATAAAATTGTATAATGGACATTCTGATCCTTCCAAATACATTTAATATTCCAAAGAATCTGTTAAAAATGTGAATGATTATTCTATACAAAGAGAAGACAAAAAAATTACATCGAATATTACTTATTAATATACTTACACATTGATATATTTCCCATCTTGCAATAAAAATTTGATTTATCGTTGATATTCTACAAAGTCTTCCAATAAAATAATGCGTTCAATTAATTTATAATACGACATTAAGTGAATGATATATTTTCTTTAAATAATTATAATAATCAAGAAACATCTATAGACAAGCATCCGCAATAACTACAATCAGCAATATTGTTTAAATGTTAACATTACCTTACACAACAATACTTATCTTGCAGCGCCATCGTAAATAAGAAAATTACAAAATAAATATACTACTTTCGTTGAGATTTTTATCATCATCTAAAAATTTAATAGTCGGAATGTTCTATTTATAAATCAGAAAGAGAATAAACATTTTAAATAAAGTAGTATTCGATTATCAACAAAACTGCCCACACAAAAACTATCAACCCACATAACTCGTTACGCATCTCATTTCCAAACAAAAGTTACTCAGTAACTCTCACTCAACAGATTCGAGGTCAGGTGGTTATTTAAAATACACTCCCTCTCCTTTTTAGTGAACAACGTCCACTGAACTCAAGGCACGGAGTGGCTAATATTTTGCAAGTCTGCTTTCCTTCCGAATATTACTTTTAACATATTTACACAGGTGGAAAGAATGCGAGTTACAGAATAACACAACTCCATTTTCACGCCTTCCAGTACGCCAACGGAAATCATAATTAGAAAACATTTTCAGAGGTGTAAGAGAAGACCTCGATAAGCCCCATAACATGGATTATCATTCGTTGATTCGAAATACCGATTTCAATCCGACCAACCATTTTCTGTGACATTGAGAAACTACAAATGACAGACGTTTCTATCCTTAACTTGGTAAGATGATCCGTTGTTCGAAATCACACTAGTGTTAAAGACGGTAAACAACTTCCTTTCCTATCATTCAAAGCTCTGCATACCGTGGCATAATTACCCTAACGAGCGACATAAAATCAGAAACCAAATTAATAATCACAGTATATTTATGTCGCTTACTTAATACACGCATTAACACTTTTTACGTAAATCGTGTGTTTTGATTTCGTAATCATCTTCGAGTATGTTACGTAAAAAAGTTTTCGTTACGCAGATTTCGTGTTGATCGTTTTGTGTTTTTCGAGCATGTTTATGTAGAGGTGTTGTAAACCAGAATACACCTCCAAGAGCATGCGCAGTGTCCACTCCATTAATGACCTTCTATATCAGCTACTGACGAGTTGCCTGTATTTGGTTAATTTTGCACGTAGGCTTTTCGCGGGGATTGGCAACAGCGGAGTAAACTTAATAAAATGGAAGCGCATTTTAAAAAGAAAATTAAGAATAAAAAAAATTCGTTAAGGGACTTAGCAAGAAATTAAGATTATCGTACCGAATTAGGAATTTGGGATTAACTGGTATCTATTGTTGCATCGTTGAGTAGAAAACTAGCTACCAAACTGGTGTTGCAAGTTTTTTTTTTATCACCATATTCTCCCTCCTAGATCTATCATTCTCACTGGGCCAACTTCCCGAAAATATTTAAGTCATAACACGTGTCGATTGATTTGATTTAAAATAAGAATGGTCTAATTACTTTTCCCGATATTTAATTACAGTATTTGCTACGGGACGGGCAAATCGAACGCCAATAATGGATTTTATTCTAATAGGGGAAGGGCTTTTTTCACTTTGGAACTGGGGATTTTCGTTTTTTTGTAAACGATGCGGGGGTGAAATGTTTGATGGAAGTGACGAGATGTTTTTAGTACGTGACTGATGGTGATTCCGGATGGTAGAGGTTGCAACGAGGGTGGGGCACATCCATCCACCAAACTGCGAGCCACTGGGAAACCAGAAATAGCCTTCAACAAGACGGCCAGGTGATGTTGACGGCTCGAGTACCTATCAACTGCGGAAGAAAGGTGCGCACGAAATCAGCGACTAATAAAATAATAACTGAGGGATGTAGTTAGCATTTTAAGTGTATAAAAATCATGAGTAAGACTGACCGATTCGATCAGCAAGAAAATTCTACTCACCTTGTTCTAGTTATGCTCCATGATGGCCGATTTCGTCCACGAGGTGGCACTACCGGATGGAGCGTCTAATGCACGATTACACGTGTCCTTCCGCCATACGATAAAACTCATTAAATAAAACGTTTCAAAAAATTTGCTTTGTTATAAGAATACGATGCTATATCGCGTAGAATAAAAAGTTATTTGTTTATAAACGAAATATCGGGCAACGAGTTAAAACCGATGTGAAGCGAAAGACTAAAGTTTAGAAAGGACTAGGTTTTGATGAATCGTTACACAATTCTAAAGAGTCGGGTTAAGCTGGGAGCGGGTCGTGGTTGGCATCAGTTGTGCGGTGGTCGTATGGACGTGAGGATGGTGAGTTTTTTAGGACGTCGTCTCTTCTTTAATTATTAATATTCGCAGATTGACGTTAAATCAAAGAAACAGTGTTAGTTGACGTAGGAATGAGCGAATTGGGTGTTTTGGTGCCAGAAGAAAAAGCAACGTATGTGACGTCGTCTCGTATGGTAGAAACTGCGCCCTCTACCGATTCTCCGCTGGACGAAGAATGTAAACAGAAAAACGGACGTAGGACGTTGAGTGAGAAGGAGGCTTCGTCGCGAAAGAAAAAGCATAGACGCGGAAAAACGAAAAAGCGGAGGTGGAAACCTTATTATAAAATGTCGTGGCAGGAGAGAAGAGAATTAGAAGAAAGGGAAACGCTTCGAGCCAATCGTATTAGGGCCGAAATGTTAGCTCACGGACAACCGTTAGCACCTTACAATACTACTCAGTTCTTGATGGAAGATCACAATGTTCAAGAGCCGAATTACGAACACATCCCAAACGGTCACAGGCATAATAACCGAGAAAATAGCGTAGATTCTTCCGACGAATATTACAGTTCGCCGGAAGACGAGGAAGATTTCTTACAGAAGCAGTTTACGGAAGCGTACGATAACATTCATGCCGAACGCTTAAATGCCATGTCTAAAACAGAACTTGTACAAGAATATATTTTGTTGGAAGATAAAGTGGAAGAACTAGAAAATCAATTGAAGAACGCCTCGCGTTGTCCCAATGATAGGTTAACGGCTGAACAAGAAGTGCAAACAGTGTTAGAAGATCAGTTCGAGAAAGTTCGTATCTTCAAAGAGGAGATTAAAAAATTGACAGATGAAAATAATCGCTTGAAAAGCGAAAACGAATTGTTAAGAAGTCGGGTAGCCGAGAACGATCGCATTTCTTAGAAATTACGGCATTTCATTCATTTTGTAATTACGTCATCATTTGTAGATAGTTCTCTCTACAGTTTGACGTTTTTTTCATTTTTTAATTGACGAATATATTTTTTTTCGTTGTTGTTTTCTACATCAATACTGTCAAATGTTTCTGGAACCAAGTAGATCTGGACAACCGATTTGTTTGTATACATGACGACCATTTCATTGGAGAGAGCGTATCATTGTCATTTAGTCATTGAGTTGTGTATATGTCAAGATTAAAACACTTTTGTTCTTTCCAGTTTTTGAGTGACCAATAATCAACTATTTCTATTTTTGGCTTTTAAAAAAATATTTCACTCCGAGGTAAAATATTAATTCTCTTATCCTATTTTAAAACATTCGAAAATTCGGTTCCTCCAGTTCTGTTGTAAGAAAAGAAGAATTTTAAAATTAAATATGCAGAATTCTTTACTAAATTTAAATATGATTGATTATTAGAAATATACGGAATTTGAAGCATTTCGTATCTAAAAATATTTTGAGTCGATTCATATGCTTTATGACAATCGAGATAAACATTATATATATATATATATATACACATTGAATACGATAAATAAAATAGATGCAGTTGTATTAGACAATAGTTTTCGGTTATCTGAACTTGTCGCCCTACATTTATATTAGTCTAGTTTTTCTTTTGTGCTAGTCCATGCTTTGTTAATTATTCAAACCATTTTGATTGTATCGAGTCGTAAAAATAATTTTATTTCGTGAAAACCTAAATTTTTGGACAACTCGTATTCATGCGACTTATCTAAAAAAAAAAAAAATTGAAGACTACGCGGAAAGTACGATCGATTGATATACGTTGCAACAAAAAGTTATTTTAAGATTTTTTACATAAAATATTTATTTTATATGTTTATCTGTGACTTATTGAATTAAATTGATATAAATATTGAAGTAAACTATTGGAAGTTATTTTCATATTAACTGACAACTTCAACTGGAAGTGAAAAATGCTCGAAAGAGGGTGAAGGACGTGAATTTTTCATTTTTTTAACGTGAATTTACTGTCGCGACCGATTTCGAAAGGGGATTTTGTTAATTTGTATAAAAAAGAAGTGTTGTTTAGCGACTCTCCTATCGTGCAATAAATCTTTCGTCCTAAATTAAAATCCTACAGATGGTGTAATCGGTTCCGCTTCTGTTTAATGGGTGCGTAATTGAATGTAACGGAGTTCAATTCTTGAACTTTTCCTCATTCTTTTTAGAATTTTTTTTAATAAAAGAGAAATACCGTCATCGGTAAGCTTCGATCTTGATATGTTTGCTTGTCGCTATCGATCTGGTCTTTTGGCCATTCAAAGCAACTTGCTCAACGGACTTAGCGTCGAAAATACTTCCATTCTAAGTAGTTACGTACGGTAAATCAATTTAAGAATTAACAATAGTAGCATGTTTAAAATACTTATCGAATCTTACATTTATATAGAGAAACTAATAAATTTGGATTAGTATTGTTGCATGAATATTCATTTAAGTCATTTAATCTCAAAGACGAAAGTATTGTAATCTTGCGTTTTGTGTATATTCATAAACATTTTCTTATAAAATAATACATTCATTTTAGAATCTCAAATTAATAGTTTTCCTCTAATAAAGGATAGCCACTGGAGATGGAACGATCAACAGTTTCGTGCTGTTCTCATCTACCTGTCATGTTAATGTGTTCAAGTGTTCTAATTCATTTTCTGTGGCATATTTTAGTCAAAGTTGATGATTACAATAAAAAAAAATAACACACTGATTTTCTTTCGTATGCAAGGGAAATTATGAATTTTAAAGCTTGTTTCATTCATCAAAGATTCAGAATATTTATGAATAGCTTTATAATAAACAACGTTTAATGTGTATATCAAAGAAAATATTCAGTCATTTTCCGCATGATATATATGATTTAACCTCATCTTTTTCGTTTGATGTACCGTTATATTAGGTTATTCTTCGAAACCCTATCATATAATTAGTTTCGGTGGCAAAAGAATCACACTTCCTAGTTGTGTGAGGTGAGTGTTTTTTCGTTTCGTGTCTGGAAATCTGTAATGACAAATGCAACCGACCTATAATCGCGTAGCTGTGTTAGTGACCCCGCGACGAGCAAGGGACTTGCACACTATTCCTATTGAGTATCGTTCTGCATGGAAGCAACCAGTCACTGTCATATATAAAATTATTATCCGTTGCTTTTATATAACGTTTTATCAATTATAATATTTTTAAAGTTTTAGAGTGCATAATAATAAACATTCGTTTTCGAATTTGATTGTAGATTAACCGTTTTGATACCAAAACAAGGCAGCTGTTTCCTATCCCTAATCCCCATTGTAGAATGAACTCGTCTTTGTGAAGCAAACTTGAATTGTCTGCCCTCACCCACCCGTGTCTCTGTCTTCGTGGAGGTTGCTTTGCTCTGGAAACTGGAATTCTGTGACGTCATGCAAATCGCAGGTTGCTTAAAAGTGCTTGTTGAATATAGTCGATCTGAAATAAAAATTCACCTCACTAGTAATGTATTCATATATAAAATGCGAATAATAAAGTTAATGTTTATATTCAAACAGTTGGGAAAAGAAAAGTTCACCAGCGATTGTCAATAATAGAAATTAAAAATGAAATTGCATTGATAATCATCAAAGGTAAGTAGCCTAGAGTATTTACTTAAGAACTTTATATTAGATTATAATTGTATTAATAATTATATATAATAAAAGACATTTTCAAAGGCTTAGACAGATACAGTACCTTTTGGTGACATGGATGTTGAATATTCGTGTTTAGTTCAACATTAACACAATTGTTATTTGATTGTAGATCGCTGTTTGAATAGTTGTAATAGCTTTTTCAAAAGGAGAAAAAGTTAAAGAAATCTTCAGGAAAATTTGATCGAGATGAATTGCTTTTCACAATAATAAGTTCTACGGAATCGAGTAAATTATATTCCAGGTTTAAAGCGAAGGAAATTTTTTAGGGGAAGGGAAAGATGTACGGACCTATTTGGAAAAAGTAAGTAATTTTTTAAAAATATGATGTTTTAAAATGGTTCGATTGTGTTTTTCATGTATGTTAGTCGACTCAATAGATTTTAATTTTGTTTAATATTGATAATTTAAATAATATACTGTATTTGAATGATAAGAAATTCCAATAATATTTTTAACTGTATGTGTTTATAATATTTTCAGATGTATGTAAATTTCTTAAATTATTTATAAATTAATCGATATTTCGGAAAAAGAAATTAATTCGAGTTAATCAACTTAATACTTAAATATTATTTATAAGTTAAACTCAAGTAAGATTGAGCATAAATTATTTATTAATAAAATATTTTAATATAGCTTTTTAGGTAATTAATCGTTTTGTTTCTTTGTAATTAATTATTTAAATATTTTTAATTTAAATATTCTTTATGTGATTAAAAACATATATCCAATTTTATTAGTTTAAATTATTGTTTACAGAAGGAATAAGATGACTACTTCCTGGACTTGTGAGTGGGGTAAAAGTTCGATAGGCACAAAAATTTATTGAAGTTGTATCTTTTTGTGTATTTAAACACAAAAAGATACAACTTAGCCTTTGTTCTGTATGCCACGAGAATTTAATCTCGTGGCATACAGAACAAAGGCTAGAAATAGTCTTGCTGTCAGCGAGAAAAAAATGCTTATATTTTTTTAATACTCTTTCAATCTAATTAAATTCAATCTAAATTTACTTTTACGGTAGACAGATTCGATGCCTGCATTCAATTTACAAGTTATTTAGTGTTTATAGCAGATCCTAACTATGATGAAAGAACAGTAGCAGATTTTATGGCCTCTTTTTTAATGTATGTATCAATTTCAATTCACCTATGAGATCTATCAGCTAAACCAAGAATGAATTAGGTTACGTTCGACTTGCCAACTTTAGTGTAAACCATCGATCAATATTCCGTTTTGCTCGTGTCTGATGAGATATGTGAATGATTGAGATTGCAATTTTCTAATCATACTTCCCCTCTAATCTCTTCTGAAATTCGTTCTTTCTGCGAGTCTGACTTTGATAGGTAGAGATTTGTTCGAATGAATAATGATAGCTTCTGCGGAATACTTCTTTAGTAGTTTTTTTATGTATTGATGAAAGCAAAAGCGTTCTCTAAATCATTTAGTCACTCGTATAAAGTATTAATTGATTTGTGATATGACATTCGCGACGTTTCTGCACGAAAAATGATCGAAAGTGGAAATAGGTTTACTACTGCCTTTGGCTGTCGGCGTCTTTGGTTTCTCATTGGATGACACAGAAAGAATTTCCTAATAACTTTTTTTCCTCTTTTCTAGCTTGTAAAGCGATATTACAACTTAACAAATCGTAAACTTTATTTGCTAAAAATTTCGTTAGAATTTCCAGATTATAAGAGAAAAAAATCTTAGCTTCTTTAATTTTTAATATTTTAAATAAGAGTTAAATTTTTATTTTCTTTAAAAATAAAACGGACTTAATTTAATGTCATTACAATTACATTAAATATTAAAATTAGTCTTTAAGTATTAATGATTCGAAATTTCAAACAATTATTTTGTTTTTGTTTAACAACAATAATTTAATTTTTATTATTGATTTAATATTTAAATAGCGGTTGTGATAATCAAATATCTCTTACTGAATTTAGCTTATTTATATATTTTTCGAGAGTATTAAAATGTAATGTCGAGATAATTCGAAACTATTGAACGTAATTCAACAAAAGATGGTATATAGCATGGTTCTTAAATGAAAATATCACTTCAATTATGAGTAAAACATATTCGTGTATAGAAAACATTCTGGAAGATTTTTAAAATTAATTTATTGAATTGACTTATTGTCGGTTTAGATATTAAATCAGTGTTTCTCAAACTTTTTTATCTGGTGGCACACTGAAATTATTAAACAAAATTCACGGCACCCCTATTATTATTTTTTTTTCTTTTGCTTTTTTACGGTTAGTAAAGATATGAAGGAGGAGAAGTCTTTGAAAAAAATAAAAGTTTTTTAAAGTAAGTCTATTTCCAAACAACACAAAAACATTCAAAACAAAACTTATTATTATAAAGGTATCTGGTGATAAAATGTGAACTTAATGTAAAGTATGCGCTTGATGCTGTTTGCATATTTCCTTGATATTAGGTCGTGTTTTTGAGATACCCTCATCTCATTTTCAAGGGCCTTTAGTCTTTCTCTCTTCTTTGTTTTAATATTTACGAGTGTAGAGAATCCCACTTCACAG